CAACGTGCCACCGTGCGCAGGAGGGGGCACAGCGCCCCCGCCCGGTGGGGGGGCGAAGCAGCCGGCGCCTTCTCCCTTGCCCGCCCCCGCCACGGCGGAGCAGGGTCCCAGTTTTTTTGTGAGGAGCCCCCACCCAGGACACCCACTTTGGGGGATTTATGGCCAAACGAGCTTTTCCCGAGTTGGGCCGGGCTGACAGGGGCTGGGCCGCGAGCTGCCCCCCGCTGAGGAGACGCCTCCCGCCTTTCCCGCCCGCAGCCCGCTCTGCCGCTGCGACGGCAGCTTACAAACGCTCTACAAACGCTCGGTCGTTCCAGGAGCGAGTTTAATACAAAACATACAAACGCAATGTAAAACGCAGTTACTGCGTGGAACTGTGCAAACGGTAATATTTACAAATGTCGACGTTTACATAACGGTATAAACCACGGTGATTGCCAAGTGAAAATAAAACAGAGGAAGATGACGGAGCTGGTTTTTTCCACAGACACACTGAGTGTGAGCACTGTTACAGTGCAAATCAGCTGTTAACTGCTCATAAAACTCGTTGTCCATTTTCAGGGCAAAGACACAGGTATAACGTTGCCGAGAAAGGCCAAACTTCGAAATTTCAGCTAAAAAACTGAAAAATAAATTAATTAGGAAAAATACAAATAGCGCAGGTGTACAAGCAGGCTACCTGGGTGGTTACAGGGCCTTCGTCCTTGTATTTCAGACCCAGCAAATTCAGGGATGAAGTTAATGACTACACAGAAAAACACCATAAGGGCCAGTATGAGAAGCCCCGGGGCAGCCTCGTCAGCGTGGGAGAAACAACGCTGCCTTTCCAGTTTGTGGAAAGAGCTTGTCCAAAGCCTCTTGCATATTTACTGACTACAATAAATTCTGTTTCAGGTGGAGCAATGCTCCGAATGGCTTCAAGCTACGACAGAGGATGGCTGAGGTGCGCTCCCCGTACCCTTACTGGGAGCCAGGACTCCAAGTCAGTTTTCCTTCTGTGCTTAGATAACAGCTGGAGCATTTAGCATTAACGGCTAGGTATGTGTAGTACCTGCCAGATTTTGTCCTGTAATACATTAATTGAATTTCTACGTTAAAAACAAAAATTAGCTTTGCAGCTGTTTAAAACAAAAATAAATTGTAATTACAAATTTTGAGTAAAGTCCTCAAGGAACAACTGATGATGGGATTACCATAAGTTGCATAACATTGTGTAGCAAAATTTGAAGAGAGACTTTACATATTCGAATAGGAAAAGAAAAAAAAAAAAAGGAAAATATATTTATCTGACCTATATAGAAATTAAAAAAAAATAAGAAATCAGCCAGATAATAAAATAATTTTTCTCTAATACACTGCAAACATTCCTGCCCAGCCGCTAAGATGTCGACATCTCCAGGCAGGATCTGAACAATGCAGAAGTATGTACAGATTTAATTCTACAACTCCTCTTCTGCATCTGCTGTTGTGTGGATCTCCACCTGCTAAAAGGGCACCAGCACCCAGGGAACTGCCCGGCAGGAGTTCTTAGAGGTGACTGAAAGTTGGTGTCACTGAGCTGCATTTGCTCCCCTCGGCTGCCACATGCCAAAGGAGCAACAACAATAGAGAATTTGCAAAAACAGCAACGTGTCTTTCATTCCATCATTGCTCTAAACTGCTGCGTGTACTTAGACAGCTCCTCAGTTTGATCCTGAAGTTCCCTCATGGCATCTGCGTTTGGATATTGTATTGCAGCATTTTTGGTGGCGAGAGCCAGATTCTTCAAGAGGCTGCAAAACCGGCTGCTGCTGTGAAGAATGTCGTTCCGAGCATCTCTTTCTTGAGTTTCCTGGCAGAGAGAATCCACCAACTTTTGTCCCACCATAATGATCAATTTGCTGTGGGATATGAAGACTTCCGGTGGCTGGTTGTTGCTCAGACTATTAGTAAATACACCAATTGCCTTGTGAAGTGCACCAAAACACAGCTTACAGTGTTCCGGGAGAGCGATCTTCTTTGCAGCATCCTGCTTGCTTTGAATTACAGTCTTTTTTGCAGATGGCAAAACCTGGAAAAAGGTTAAAAAAAACCAGACTCAGCTTGGTGGCACACTGATTGTTTCTTTCTTTGCTCTACCCTGTATTCTTCACAGGTTCTTCACTTACAGAGAGTTTTGTTAGTTAATAGTCTCCAAAGTACTCCCAGCCCAGGAGTCTTTTACAATCATGTCTCTTTCCATAAAGTAGTGGACTTCAAAGTGGTATTTTCTCCTGATTGCCTTTTTTCCCTAAACAGATTTCATGATTTTAATAATGGATAGCACACAAAGTGCTGTAGCTAACATCAATCCTTTATACAGTCTGGACTTCAAGCTTTCAGGTAATAGAAAACATTTAGACTTGATCTTTAATGGTACTGACTTCATGAGGGTTATGAATGATTAAAACGGTACAGTAACAAGAGGGTCATTGCAAGGTATTTTGAAATGCTAACTCTCACAGCCTTATCCCAAATGATACACAAAGGCAAGCAAATAAATAGCATGACTTTAAACCAAAGTGGTTTGTTACACTTGAGGAAAAGAAATGTTTTGCATGGGTTTTCAGCAGTAATTCTAAAGAACTAGTTCTGGGAAAATGAACTTTGAGAAAACAAATAGATCTCTATGTATAGATATGTGTGTCCAAGTGCAAATTATTTTGAATTTTAGCAAGCACAGAAATCAGGGACTAGAAGTCCTCATAAGTAATAGTCTTCAAAATCAGAAATACCTTTAGTTTTGAATCTGGACTCTTCTTTGCTACTTCATTACCTGACATGATTTTCTGTGCCTGTTACAAATCAAAATGAAAGCGAAGTTGAAATGGTTTACATAAAATATTTAAATATAAATGCTCTTATTTCAGGGGGAAACAACTACTTGCTATGCAGCCTGCATGTTATGGATGACAATGGTACATTTATTAGAAGCAACTGTAGTTTTTTTCCTACTAAACATTTCGTGTCTGATCCTACAAGATCTAAGACTGAAACCAACATTAACAAAACATAACATTTCCTAAATTCTAAAGACAAGCCAGCATTTCTTTGTGAAACCAAGACAGTTATATTCTTAGTAGACATTTCAGTAATTCTAAGGAGAATGATTCTAACAAACATCCAAAATTCCAACAAATAAATTAGATAATTCACAGCAAGAGTTAATTTGTTAAATCAAAATTTTCAATGAAAGGATGCTTTCCAATACACCCCAGTTAGAAAGTTAACATTTCTTGTATAGTTGTGTCAAACAAAATATACTGGCAAGAAGAGAACTACTAGTCAAAAGATATGAAACAAATTGCTAAGCCCCAGCTAAAAGCTGTGTCTCAAATGAATTTAAACGGACAAGCTACAAATATCCTCCCAGGGCTGGCTGGGTGGCTGTAATTTCTCAAAACACCGGTTCACTTTATTACTTAACATCACATCATTCTACATGCGCTATCTACTACTCTAACAAAATCCTGAATTCACATAAAGCCTGGAAAATAGGAAGTAGTGCAAACTGAATTTGGCACTAGTGCAAAGATAAAATAGTGCTTATAGCTTAATATCTGTAAACTATCAAGAATATAGATAGTAAAATCCAGTTATACTAACCTGTAACTGAACATAATCACAGTCCTCAGTGGCAATTTCTTTTGGTTTCTCAGAAGAGACCTGATTTTGATTCGGTTTATCAGGAGTATTTCTTTGAAATGAATCTACTTCTATTCTTCTGGGCACTGTGATTTGTTTTGCCATTTTGTATTCTGGGTTCACTTTTGATTGCCTCATTTCTTGTTCCTTCTCATTCTTCCTGAAGAGCAGCTTACCATTGGCAATGATGATGGATACAAACCTCTTGAGATCATCTGGAATCGTGCGGGCTACCATAACAAAGCGATCAAGATCATCTGGGTTGTTCTGAGGTATCCTGAGGACCAAAGCCTCTAGTGACCACTTGCAGTTGTTTAGAGCTTCTCTGGTTTCTGTTAAAATTTTGAATGAGTTCATAAGAATTTCTAGCTGTTTTTTAATTCTGGTCTGAAGGTTGTTATCAGTGAGGTAAGAGGCATTTACCTTTATGACTTGAGCAAAGGCCAAGAATTCTCCCAGTGATACTTTTATGTGATCAACTGCTCTATGGATTTCTTCAATGCTTTTCTCTAGGTGTTCTTGTAATCTCCATTTACTACTCACAAAGATCATTAAACTTGCAACTGAGCTGGATACACTGTGCTGCAATCTAGTCAGTGTCTCTATGGCTACGTCAAGGTCCAGTTTAATTTCTTTGGCAGGCTCTTCTGATATTGACATAGAAAAAGACTCAGCAGAAGAGTTTGAGGATGTAGAGAGTGTGCTGCTTCTGCTGTCCACGCTAGAAACAGATAATCTGTCTTGTTCTAATTTGGCATCTCTCGAGAGCTGTGAAAGAGCACTGTGTGCTTGGTCTCCAGAACTATCACTGTTTTTTTCCATCTCTTTCTTGGACTGCAAAGCGGTGGGCAAAACTTTTGGAATATCATAAACATTCTCTTCAGAGATCTGATTCTCAGCCTTTGGAGCCAGGAGACTGAGGGGTACATCACAGCTACCGTTTTGTGGCCAAAGGAGCATGTCCCGTGAGGATGGAACATCATAAAGATGGACATCTGGAAACATTAATTTCCGTTGTGTTGGTGGAATATCGTATAATTGTGGATTTAAAACTTTGGCTTCAGTATTTGTTGTTACTGCCTTGTACCTGGCTGGTGGTATATCGTACAGCACCTGGTTCTCCAAGGAATGGCCAGGAGGGTTTTGCTTTAATCCTGTTTTTTCAGGTGATACTGGAATATCATAAATCCATTCTGACTTTCGGGGATTTGGCAAGGTATTGTAACGGCCCCAGGACTTTTTTTGAGATTCATTTTCTGAAACATCAGTTTCTCTTTTGGGAGGGACATCATATAACTGCAACAAAGCACACAGGATTTATAAGCATTGTTTTATACCAGAAGTAAGAAACAAAACTGAATTCTCAGAGCATGCAAATGTGGGCAACTCCAGTAATGTCAATGGAACTGCACCACAAAAAGCCCATAATTTTAATTTTCTAAAATGCACGAGCTGCACATACGAAGGTTAACGTATTTTGAGCACAGGTGATTAAATCATACAGCTGTGTTCCCAACCAGTAAAGTCTGTGAGCTCTTCCTTGGCTCCTTGGGGGTGGGAAAATTTCAGTTTTCTGAAATGGCTACAAGAAAAGTGAAATGCCAGTTTATTAGTAGGTTAACATCAAACACTCAGTTTTACAGTATGAAGGAGGTAAGATTTTATTAGCCTCTGTGTCAGAAAACACTTGATCTTCCAGTATCCTCACCCGCATTAACATATATATCCTGAAAAAAAAAATCACCAACAGACACAACTGACTATTCTCAAACAACTACAATGAGTTTAAATTTTTACTTGATACAGGTTTGGTCAGATGGATACAGATCTTGCCGAGTGCCTTAAAAATGTGTATGCACAGCTGAAATCTCTAAGCTGGAAAACGCGCGCTTCTTGTGCAAGAAAATCCGGACTAATGCTAAAAGGCACTTTGGGACAGCTTGTACCTGGATGCCTTACAAGCACGAAGCACAAGCATGAGGGACTGCAAGGAGCTGTAGGAGGGTACAGCAACAAGAAACAACTGACGGTACTGTTACATAATAAAAACTTTAGAAAGAACTGGCCAGGTCAGGCTTCCCCATCTGCAGAAGACATGCATGAGAAGGGGAGCCCAGACAAGAGTGTTTCAGACCAAAGCCAGAATTTTCCGAATTGCCCATAAACAAAGAATTCTAAGAAAATTTGATTTTGGAAGCAACAATAAACTGTGTCTCCCGAAGGAAATCTGCTCCCAGCCTGCTGCAGCTGGTCGGTAAATTGTTAACAGCCATGAAGATGGTGGGAATGCCAGCTTCACTGAGCAAGTGCTCATATGCCAGCGTCCCAGTTCTGGGTAGCACCAGTCCTGCTGTCAGCCCTGGGGCTGTGTGCTAAGGAGCCTGTCAAAATTCACTTGGATCCCAAAACTGTTCAGGAAACCCGAAATATGTGGCACTCAACTAATAAAGAGTTTTCATTGAGGCATTTTATTTGTCATGAAGTTTAAGATCAGCCCTTTCTTCAAGGATGGTACTTGTCAAACTGCGGAGCAGATGGGAAGCCGGACCCCTCTCAAGGCTGTCCCCAAAGCCAGGTGTGCTCCACTCCCAAAAAAGGTGGCAGCAGAGTGCTGCATGGAATGGGAACAGTTAGTTTCCATCTGCTTAAATATTCCAAACAATCAGGCATTCAAGAATGTAGGGTATTGAATTTGCTTTTCACACTATCATAAAAAGATAAAGGAAGAGAACTTGGTGCCTGCAGTCCAATGAGCAGTCCAGCAAACGCAGTGGTAGTCCTTGTCCCGACAGGTACCCCGACTATCCCGGAGCCAGCGGTAATTGTCCCTTTAACATGAAGGACAAGGTACTGCACTGAAGGTGTGCTGGTCTTATCCCCGCAATCCTCACCAGCAAACAGAGCTCAAGGGAGGTTCAGTGCACGTGCCCAACATCACAGTAATGAGATACTATTCTCTTGTGTCTTACTTACATTGCCTGCTGGTGAGTCTTTCTGGGTAACAGCTCCTGCCTTTTCTGGGCTGGACGGGATGTTGTAAAGCTGCTTCTGCTCTTCCTGGAAACACTGGGTGGATCCGACCAGCAGAGAGCCCTTTCGTGCAGCGGGCGGAGTGGCACCGCTCTGGTCAAAGGGGAAAAAAACCCAGGTTGGCTTCAATCCTTTTCAGAGCCCACTGAAGACTTCGGTGGAACCAAAGGGGTTTGGATCATAGGTAGCTCCTAGTTTGGACAGCGTGGGTCAAGCTCTACCTGCTGCAGAGCTGCTGGAGCATCTTCCCGCCGCGCTGCACAGGAGGGCGGTGGGCACCAGGTGCAAGGCAGCCGTCACCTACACGGGCAGCTTTGGGTCTTGGCAGGCATCACCCCACTTCAACAGAGCGGGCAACACAAACACAGTTTGTGGATAACTTGGTGATAAATGAATTAGAGTGGGCTCAACCCTGCACTGCCAGGTGCTGCCAGGGCGGGCAAGATGCGTGGGGAGGCTCCGCAGACGCGCTCAAGCCCCACACACGCCTTTGCGAGGCAGGTGATGGGATGGGGCCGGAGCCTGGCGTCTGACCCAGCCTGACCTGCGCAGGCTGCAGTGAGACGCAGAGGAAATGCGGCGACATCCACTCTCCCCAGGGAAGCACGGTATCAAGAGCAAGATCGTGTACCAGGACGCTTCAGCGGTAGATGCAATCGGCGTGTTGCCCTTACCCTAAGCGCGTCATGGCTACATGACCTAATCCCTTGCATTTTGTTGCCCAGGAGGTGGGTGGTGTGGGTGACATTTAGCTTCCTTTTGTACATGTACTAGTGACTCTTCTGTAAACATTTTGAAATCTTGGCAATCAAATGACACAGAGGCATAGCACATTTCCTGATGGATAAACCAAGGCAGAGTGGTTCACACTCTGATACTGAGAATTCATCTGTGCCCTGGAACTCGGTAACGGTAAAACTGAAAATGTTTCTAATAAACATACCAGATTTAAGTCACACTTCTCTAAATGTCTAACAAACTCAAGAGAGACCTGCTTTGGGTTTTGAACTTCCCTAAAAATGAGATTTTTCTGCCAAATTTTACAAAAAGCAAACAGGGAAACACCAGAATTTACCTTAAAATCTATTCTGAGGTCCTACAGGGACCCAGCTGCAGGAAGGGGCTGTGGCAGGACTCACCTGCGTGAGGAAGGACTCCCGGCGCTGTGTGGATGGAACATCGTACACCTCACTCCTGATATTTGGGACTGAAGCCCAGCATGCTCTTGGGAGAGTAAGCAGGTGCTTAGAGGGGGAGAAAAACCAATAATGAGAAAGCTGCAGTGAGCAGTAAGCTCAGGACATCTTTGAAAACTCAATTAGCTGAATAGGCCACCATAACAGTTCTCACTCTTAAGTGATTAAAAACCTTTCAGCTTTTCACTGAGGGTGATAGACCAGAACTAACCTTACAAGCAGGTGTGGTACTTTTTCCCCGTAATTCTCCTTTGCCGGCATTTATGCTTTATCTCAGATAAGATAAGCATTGGCACATACAAATCAAAGATGATCTGCCTTACTAACCAAGAGAGGGAAAAGATTTGGAGAAAATCCAGCTTCAGTTATCATTTAAGTCTTTAGACTACCCAAAAGCAGAACTGCTAAAGAAAAAAAAAGTGCAGGGGAATTTCTACTTCTCCAGTCTCACAGAGCCATTAGGTCAAGCCATATTTAGTGGGAGTAAGAGCAGCGAAAAGCTGCAGGCTGAGGTGCATTATTCTGCAGTTCTGAAAGACGGACTCATTTGGTAGGAATAAACAGTTACCTTCATGCCCTGTCCGGCTCCATAAACAGAGAAGACTGATAGGGGAATTACATTATTTAGGTCAATTAGAGACTAATTCTCCCATTTGCTTAAAACATCATTTAAAGAGCTATGACCAGATCCACAGGACAATTAGTTAAGATGCCAAAATATGATTGTTGGGAAAGGACTTTTTTAAAATCAACTCCAAAACCACGGAGTTTTGTTTATTTAGCATGGGTTTAGCCTGGCTCTCCGCAGCTGGCTTGTAAATGGAGTATTGTAAACTACCAACCCACAAAAACACCGCTGTGTTACAATGAATTATTTACAATTGGAGGTAGCGTTCCCCATCATGTGAGTGAGTGTTGTAGTGACTAAATTTAGGAGAAATACGGCAGAGGAACAAGGCTCCAGCTTTACAACTGCTTCCTTCATCTTTGTGAAAGCTCTTAGCTCTCATCTGAAGAAAGTTCACTCATCTGACGAGCAAACACAAACCCCTCAGCGCTCAGCGGTATCAGCCATCTTGCCTGCAGACAGAGGCAGAAAAGACTTTCCTGAACAGAAAAGGTAACGGATAAGTGGGATCAAGAAAGCCATCCTCAGCCCACGTCTGTTTTCAGTCGGACAAATCTTACTCAGTACACAGCAAAAAGGAAACTCACTGAATATCACATCTTACTGGTTTTTTAAAGTACTTTCAGTCGCAGTAAAGCAAGAAGGTGCCCTGTGTATTAGGCGGAAGCGATGAGGCTTTTTACAGGGTGAAAGCACACAAGCTTTGGGGGGTTTTGTTTTTTTTGTTTTATTGCTTTCAATCAGCTCCCTCAAAGACTTACAGTGGCTTTACCCAGCTGCTCAGAGGACAGCTGAGTATGCCAGCCACTTTGCCAGTTGTCCCACGGGATCCACGCGGGGCGGTCCGGAGCGCTGCGGTCGTTCCGCACTCAGGCTGTCCGCCCCGAGCCTCCCCGCGCGTCTGCGTAGGGCTTGCGACCACCACGGTACAGCTGGTGCGGTAACAGCTGTGACGTCGGCGACAGGAGCTCAGGCAAACCTCAACTTCTAAATCATAAAAGCAGGCTAAGACTTTTTTTTTTTTTCTTTTTTCTTCTTTCTCCGTGAGAGTAAACACGGCTGAGGTACATAAACACATGAAATGACAGAGAGACAGGAATAGCCGAGGAGCTCTTCTGTTGGGCCATTCATTCAGATAAAGAATAAACAGATGACATTTTCAGCCTGATTTGCTGGCACAACATGGAAAATCTGTGTCAATCTCACATTCAATTTGCAAATGCCTTCTTTAGGATTAGGAATGCGGAGAAGTCAGATCACAGCAAGTGCAAAAGGGCCTTTTGTGGCTATTACTCAGTTTGAGCTTGCAGTTATGGTAACTCTATGCAAAGGCTGAATGTGCAGCTGCAGCGCTGAAAACTGGGTTTCGTTCACCAGAGATGTACCAAGTTTGTCCCTTTTCCAGCACCCACTTGCCACACAGAAGGAACCAGCACCTCCGTTTCCGTAACTTGCCTTTCGGCACAGTGGGATGAAAGCTGTCCAACTGAGTCTCATAAACCAAATTACTATTAAATCAGTCTGGAAGGCTATTAGTTCAGGACTGAATTTCTTTCCTTTTCCAAATAATATGATTTTCATACACAGAATAAAGAGCCACCCAGGGCTGAAGAGCCTATGGGACAGCACAAAAACTTGCATTTAAACTCCCTCTCCACCTGATCTATTTACTTTTTATTATACAAGATTCCCCATTCATTTTACGCTAAAGAAAGTACAAATTTTTGATGTTAAGACTACTTGATGCAACATGTGGTCAAATTACATGTTGCATTTGAACACCCAATGCAAGGAGTAGGGAGAAAGAAGAGGCCGGGCCAGGCAGCTGGAAGGAAACCCTGGAAAGCCTGGTTTGCAATTACCCCCATAACTGGGGGGACTGGTGGCTGCTCTCATCCCATGCACCCTGGTCACCCTCTCAGCAGCAGCAAAAACAGGCTGGGAGAGAAGCGGATTCAGACCACGCAGCCAAGCCCCGTGCCCTCCAGCATGGCCACCGTAGGCGCCGCTATCCCGCGCAAGCGTAGTGACAACCTGGAGCAGCAGGAGAGCGAGGCAGCAGCACTCGTAGCTTGCTGAGGTGCTGGAAATAGTAGAAACGAGACCAAAGGCAGCAATCACACAGCAAAGGGTGATTTTTTTTTTTTTTTTTTTTTAATTACAAATCATCTTCCTGTGCAGTTGGATGCAAAGACCCTACATGTGCCCAGAGGACTCTGGATGGATGCCTGCTGTAGGCCATCAGAAGAGGAAATTCTGTGTGTGTTATTTTAACTTCAGGGTAGGTTTGTAAATAACTTCTAGATTCTTCCAAACAAATGCTATATTCTTTACTTCCTGCCCTATTGTACAGCTGCTTTAAAATGTCAAAAAAGTGAGGGACTACAGAACACTGAGACTCTCATCTGTTGCCCACAGCAGCATTTCTCACATAATGCTATAAACTGTAGTAGAATTGATGAGAGTTTCCTAAACACCACTTATTTCAATGGCTTTGCTGCAAGTTCCACCGAAATGCTCAGGCCAATAGCCTTTATTATTTTCCCGCTCCCAAAGACTGTTTTAATAATACCACTTGTTACTTTTATAGCTGCTTATATTCTTACCTGGTTTGTTGAGCTTTGGGTCCTTTCACTGAGCAGCTGCGCAGCCACGGCTGGTACCTGATACGTTCCTTGGGCGGGCAGGGTAGAGACCCTCGCTGGGGCTTTAACCCACCCCTCCATCTTCTCATAGGTAGACGACAACACGGTGGGCTTGGGGACGGAGGGAACCTGGTAGATGTTCTGTTGGCCCGCTGGCGACTCCGCGGAGTCGCGCCGGGGCGAAGGAGGCGGCAGGACGGCTTGGGAGGCGGCCAGGAGCTGGAGGCGGTTAGCGGGGGCCAGGCCCTGCCTGCCGTGGAGGGAGCATTTCCACCAGCCCTCGCTGCCGATGACGTTTCGGTCCAGGACCGTCAGGATGTCTCCTCTGCGGAAGGCCAGCTCATCCGAGCACTCCGCCTTGTTGTCGTATAGCGCCTTCGCCAAGGGATTCTGGGGAGAGAGGCAACACCGGCATTGCACCGTTACACCAACGCAGATGTCCCTTAGTTTCTGGTTTGCTCTTTATCTCCACCTTCATTTCAATTTAATTCAAGCCCACCGGTTTTCACATTAAGCTACATTTTTCAATGCGTTGGTTTCAGAGAGCTAAATGTTTGCGGCCTGCGTCGGCTATGTTCAGTGCAGTAAAAAAAAAATAATTATACTGTGATACGTTTCTTCACCACGTTTCCCCCCACAACGCTCTTGCAGAGCATTGGTAATGCTCATTACTTGGACTTTAACAACAACCGTATATAAAAAATAGGTGATCTTCCCCACTGGCATTCTGCAAATTCTTTGTTAGAAGCTGCAGAGAAAACGCATCAACCATCCAAAAATAAAACTCATGCCTCCCTGCCTGCTGCCCAATTTATCTGGGGACTTCAACTGCACATGAGAAAGGCCAATTATTTCTTACCGGGGGGGTTAAAAAAAAAAAAAAAGAGAGGAAAAAAAGAGAAAACAGAATGTCAATGCTAAGGGGGTTGATACGTGCCCAGTGGCAACACCAGCCGCAGAAACACTGCTGAAGAGCAGCGGTGGGCTGCAGCACCTCCGAAGACCCAGGCTCCAGCGCGCTGTGTCCCCGTCCACCCCAGACTCTCTAGAGTTGGATCCTACTGATTCAGGACATCCCAGGCTAATGATTTCTGTGACACATTATCTCAGGGAAAAATCCAGTTATGCACACAGCGATACCAAACAAATAGGTCTGCTGGCTCGTAAGTCTTCACGACAGGTCAGTGCGTTTGTGAGCTTAAATTCAGGTAAGCACACCCAAAACTGTGTCTGTGTTTCCTTCCATCACACAGACACCACCTGCATCCGAATATTTCTGTCTCCAGTATCTTTCAGCATCGTCATGGAGAACTCTTACTGTAATTCTTTTTAGACAGGAAACCAAGGAATAATAGAGTAAGCAACTTCCCTAAAATTGCAGAACATCAGTGAGGTAACAAATACTTGTATTTCCCGGCTGCTTTACCACAGGGCAGCCCTACCTGTCTCAGCTGAAGCCCATGAGTTTCTGACAGTCATGACTGTGTAGATGACCACGTTTTATTTTCAGCATATTTATTTTGGGTATTTGCTTACTCATTACAGGCTGAGAGCTAGAAGAATGAACGCGGTAGCAGCAGGTAGCTCTATCCACCCGAGGCACTTGCGCAAAGGGTAGAGCGCGCTGCGGACGTCGTGGTTTTCAGGACAAAACACCGTTTGCTTTCAGCTTTAAAACGAGACTGACTGCTTTCCAGTCAGAGGGACACCGGCTGTGTTTCAGCACTAGTTCCTTATCGGAAAGTGCAAGTAATGTCCAAAGAGATAGTGCCCAAATAGGAAACGTGATGCCTTGTATTTTTGTCCGGAGCATTTGCTGTAAGGCGACAGCTGGCTCGAAGTTGCAGCAGAAGAAAACCACTTTGTCAGCTCAGCTGATGGAAGCGGCCTGTTGGTAGCAGCACGCGTTTCTTCGTCAGGGTGGCCACGAACAACGGCCTTTTTGTGACACATCGGCTCGTCCATCAGCAGCTGCCAGCGATGGACAACAGTCCCATTTACCTTGCGTCCTAGCCTGGTTAAAACGGTTGTCTTGCCCTGAACATGGGAGCCCGCTTTCTATTTGGACAATGCCAAATGCTCTGAACCACCTGTGCTGAAGTCAGGCCTTCAGGAACCCCACCACAGAGTGCAGCCCGGCGTGGGTTCGGCCTTCACATGACCTTGTTGCAATTGTAAAGAAAAAAAAAAGGAGGGGGGGGAAACAGTCAACTTTTCCTATTATTCACCAGCAATACTTCTAGATCTGCCTTAACATTTGATCCCTTTTTGCTGGATGCTGTACAGACGCGCTGAAAGACACATCCTCTTCTTCTTCAGACCTGAAGAGGATGGGCACAGGGACACTGTCCCCCTCTTGCAAACAGGCAACCGAAATGCCAAGAGCCTTATCCAGGCACAGGCAGGAAATCGGTGGCAGAGCCAGGAAGCCTGAACCCAGGAACTGAGCCCCTGTCTAGTGCTTTAGACAACAAGACTGTCCTTCATAGTTGCACCAACACAAAGAAGAGGAAAATTTGGTTCACAGTACAGTTTTAGAAAGCATATAAATGTCGACATTTCCCCAGCTAATTCTTTCTTGTGGAAACAGCGTACTACACACATTATTGGACCTAATTCTTTAATTAATCAGTGTATGAAACTACACAAGTCTAATTTGAAATCTCATTTGTTTTAGATTAAAGATGCTGATTTTTCACTAGGTCAGAATTTGGCTTGTACACATCAGTGAGAATTGCTGCAAATAATTACTGTAGACTACAACATCAGTTATGCAGAGTGAGGAGGTATTCTTCCCATCAGTGATACTTCAGCAACAATAAAACATCACTGCAGCAGGTATTAGCAGGAGAAATAATTCCAACTATTCTCTCATGTCTTTTCCTAGACATTGCTAGGTCTGCTTTGCTGCAAAACGAGTGAAGTGAGAGACGAGCCAGGTCGGTGAAAGCAACAGGGAGATCTAAGCTCCATTCAGCAGCAAAGGTATTCCACAGCAAGGCTGTCAAAACTCAACTGACCAACATTTCATTTGGCAAAGTCAGATGAATATATTCAAAGGCACCCACACTGAATAAGAAAAGTTAAATTTTAAACTTACACCATGAAAGTCACAAACGTTTTCAACAGAGTGGTCTCTTCGCTTGAAGCGCAGCGCACATTCCTTTGGTTTTGCCAATAAAGCTCTGCAAACATCCCAGGGCGAGTAGCCCACAGCGAGATACCAATTCAAAGCAGAACACAGTGGTTCAAATTCTGAAAGGTGGTCTCCGATTTATGGAACTCAAATTAGGGCATGTGGTCTCATGTTTGTAGGCAACACGAATACCCAGGAACCTTGGAAATCATCTCAATCACAAGCCAAGCAGCAGATTCAAAAAAATTATAAGACACCTTGGAAAATGTGACCTAGCTAGAACAACAGATCTGTTCATAGGTCATCTCATACCCCATCTGTAGGTCTGGAAACAAAAAATTTAAGACCTTAAATAGAAAAGTGATGGAGACAGGCCCCAAGCTCTAGACTACAGAACATGAATGAACTGGAAGGTTGTCAGACCTCTGCAGGTCAGCAGAGCTCTCAAACAGGAGAGGGGAAGAAAAAAAAAAAAGAAAAGAGAAAAAAAAGAAAAAAGAAAAGAAAAGGTTCTTCCACCTAAGGCAGCACTAAATTAAATTTCAAGTTTGAGGACACATGGTCAGTACCATAGAGTTGGAGAGCAAATCTTGTCCATCCACTCGCAGTTACAGTATTGCATAAGTGCACAGCAACATCAGTTTTTTCATTATTTTCTTTCAGGAGTACCAGCCCATCACTGGCACAGCAGGCCAGCCACGGGTAGGTACAATTTCAGGTGACAGTGAAAGGCATTAGTGATCTAACTGCCTTGCAGCCCTTGGTGACATTTTTCAGTGCATTGTAAAAAGGGTAGAAAAACTTAGGGAGGCATTTTAATGAAGATTTCTTATCCTTTTGACTTGGAACTAGTCTACGAAAGAATCTGTAAAAAGGCAGAAATATGTGCAGCAGAATATATTAGCTATTTGTAGCTAGCAAACTACAGTCCCAGGCAGAACTCTTTCACAAGACGGCCTCTTGTTGCAGTGCAACATGAGGATGAGAGCACCAAAAAAAAAAAAAAATCCAAACCACTAAGACAAAACACGCCCCCCCCCCAACATCTTCCCTGAACAGCCTCTTCTGTATATTTTCAGTACCCACAGCCTGGCAGAAAGTTGCAGCAATACACAGAAAAACCAATACAAGCAGCACCACACCACTGAGGTAACTTCATTTCTGCTGAATTCTAATCTCCCCCAAAACACAAGAGGAGGAACATTTTTCACAAGGTGTAATAACAGGTCAGGTCAAACTGGTCTGCTGCCACATGTTGCTCTGTGTTCTCCTTTGCTCCTCTATTTGCAGGACTATTAAGTCTCCTTTATTTCTTGTTTACTTCCACAGAATCATTAAGGCTGGAAAGGACCTTCAAGATCATCAAGTCCAACCATCAGCCCAACACCACCATGCCCACTAAACCACGTCCCGAAGTGCCACGTCTACACTTCCAGCGATGGTGACTCCACCACCTCCCTGGGCAGCCTGTTCCAATGCCTGACCACCCTCTCAGTGAAGAAATTTTTCCTAATATCCAATCTAAACCTCACCTGGTGCAACTTGAGGCCATTTCCTCTCGTCCTATCACTAGTTACTTGGGAGAAGAGACCAACACCCTCATCACCACAACCCCCTTTCAGGTAGTGGTAGAGAGCGATGAGGTCTCCCCTCAGCCTCCTCTTCTCCAGACTAAACAACCCCAGTTCCCTCAGCCGCTCCTCATCAGACTTGTGCTCCAGACCCTTCACCAGCTCCGTTGCCCTTCTCTGGACACGCTCCAGCACCTCAATGTCCTTCTCATAGTGAGGGTCCCAAAACTGAACACAGTATTCGAGGTGCAGCTTCACCAGTTTCCAAGCATTCTGGTTGCTCACTCAGCATCTCAGGACCCGATCACACCAGGGCTGCTGTGGAAGAGAGCTGTGAAGCATTTCTTTTATGTAGTGTTATCGCCAAAGGAATGTAGGCAATACTGTTCATACAAGCTCTATCAGTTTTTAAGGAGTCCCAGCTGTGGATTCAACAAATACTAGCCCAGGATGCTGAAACAGATATTGAAGATCAGCCCAATACTGGTAAAACAAACTGTAACAACCCCACAGCAATCCCTGGCATCACAGGTGCTCCATTTAGTTATTTTATAGGATATACTTAAAAGCAAGCATTGAACTAGCTGGCTTCTGTACTGGAAAGCACTAGAGTTCTGGCAGCAAAGAGCTTGCTATAGGTTAGCTGATTTTCTAGTGGAGTTTGAGGTGGTACCAAATCCCACGGCACTAGAAAAAACCTGCTGCAGCCGCTGAGCCGGGTCAGTTACGAAAGCTAGACTGGTCACGTCCACG